AAAGAAGAAAATGACTTTGGAGTAACAGATGATAGAATGAAATGTCGAGGAGGGATCCTATTAACTATAAAAGACCGCAGTAACCCTGATTGAAGGCCTTCGGTAGGTAAGGTAAGGTAGGGCTTCTAAAATAATACCTTCTTCTTGGAAGCTATGCATAATAGAATATATTAATATTAAATTTGTAAAGCGCTATTATTTTATGTAAATTTTCTTCTGCCAAGGGAAGTTGAATCAAAAGACCTAGAAATAATCGAACACAAAAAGAATGCTGCTCCAAAAGATAAAGCACAAAGCCTATAGATTACTAATTTACTGCTAAACTAGAGGCTCAGGTTAAAATTGATACACTTTTACATCGAGAAGCCTACGGTTAGTTTACTACAAGCTGTTAGCTTTGAAAGAAACGAAAGAGATTTCTGGATGAAAAACGAATGGGCTCAGACGTGCAAAAGAACGTTACTTTTGAAAGAAAATGCACTCGTCGTTTTCACGAACTCTCGAGTAAGTTCGAGGAAAAGAAGATTTCCAGTTTTGTCATTAAGGTGCAGTTGGTTTTTTTCAGAAAATCAGAGAGGTTTAACCGGTAGATCAGACTATGTCATTCCTAGGGTGAATTTAAAAAAGAACTGTACGTCTAAACGAACAGGATATGCAGCTGGAAGAGGATACTTTAATATAATCGCTTATTTTTGCCATTTCCTTATAAAAAATATCAAGAATAATTAAAATACTGAGAGCTGTTTTATCATAACACGATCTTCAGCTTGATCAGTCATATAAGCTCTCGGCTAACTATCGAAATTTTCAATCCGACATTAATAGTAAAATACTTAGGCGTAACTCCAGATAGCAAGCTGACGTGGAAAACTCACATTGAGTTGAAGGTAAATCGAGTGCTGAAAGACTTTGGGCAGGGTCGGAGAAGCTGTAGTAAGGCTTGGGATCCTACTTCGTCTATGGTGCTCTAGTATGGTTTCGTAGAAGAATGATCAGTTTCTAGGTTAAGCAGTCCACAAAGGAGTGTGTCTATAGACAATACAAACACCATGAGAACAACGTTCGAAGAAGCTGTTAATAATTTGATGGTTCTGGGGAGTAATACAAGAGGAATCGAGCAAAGAAGGTTGGCATAATGATATCCGTTTTTGGGCTCAAATGACAAACTGATACATGCAGTCTATTTTGCAAAGGAAGTACGTTGTCTCGACAACCGAAACTATAACTGAAGTCGAATAGGATGGTTTTTAAATCGGAAGACTACAATACTTAAGATTCCAGACTGGATAACTGGCGAAAATTGGAACGACAATCAAATTAGGGTCAGCCTAGGTACTAGCTTGAACTTCTGTGGTTATAGGGACACAAAACTTTGGGATTAAACTAACTGATGAATTTACGAACTGGGGTTATTTGGAGCGTCCAGTTAAAGTGGAGCCGATTATGGGGTCAAACATATCGGAAGCTGTCTGCTACTATAGATATCTCATTAATATTTAAGTCTTACCAAAACTCTTGGTTTAATACTGATAATAGCAATACTACCAAATGAATTTCGAAAATGACAGATAGGGTGGTGATGAACTTCCTTCTCAGAAAAAGAAGAAGTGAGCTAAGAACCATGAGAAGACTGATCATGCCACACAATCCAGATGGACGACATATAGTCAATATAGGTATAATCAACAACCTGCTGTATACACCTTGCAGGGAGGATGATGATAATGTGGAGCATTTTACTGCAACTGTAAACCGGTTTTTCCTTATGCTATGAAATCTTTCGGTGTGTCATAAGTACAATGGACAACTATGGGTGGTTGGAAAGTTTTTTTGGGCCACACATACCTAAATTCCACTCAATTTCAAGTAGTTGAATCGGCAGTTGAATAAAATTTTCATGAGTCTCGTATGAAGAACTTAAGTAGTCGCCAGTCAAGTACCCGATATGGAAGTAATGGCTGTGATGACGAATTTTACATTGCGTGAATAGGATATACGACTCCTCGAGAAAAAGCGAAAGAGAACCGATGTGATTTACCACCAAAAAGCATGTCATATACCTGAGACGTACTTAAACTGGACATACGGTTATACAGTACTAACACTGCCGTTTATCTTATAACATTTTTAAGATAAGGTTACGTTAGGTTATCTTGGCTGACTTCATTGCGCGCAGGAAAATGGCACACTTAGGTCCATTGTGATGCCATATTAGAGACTCCGAGACAGTGGCAATATAATGCTCCACGCTTTCGATTTCCTCCTGATCACAACAGCTACGTCAGCAGGCGTTTGACTGTGCACCCATTCTAGTAGCGTGGTTTCCCATTAGGCAGTGCCCGGTGAGAACTACAATTACGTGTCGAAGCGGTAGTCGCTCGGAGTGGAGGGGAGGACGAGATAAATGCTTATACTCATTTCCTTTCCCTTGCTAGTTCATCAGCAATACAGTTGACTGTGTGTCTTTATGGCACCCATGTGTGTTCCATGCAATTTTCGGTGTAGATTTATCACAATTAAGTGCTGCCTGGGTATCAGAAACTATATGTAGCTATTGTATGCAAATTAGTTCAGCATATCTGCCAGACGAAAACTAAGACCAAGCGAGAATTCTTGCAAGTATATCCTACTGCCTATCTTCAGATGCAGCATGGAGCCATCGGTGCAGATGGCTACTGATTCAGAATACGAGATCAGAACTGAATTATCCTCACATTTACCCCTTGAGGCGATCCTTGTCTGGAAGTGGTGCTTTAAACCAGTAGGCGAAACTACTGGAAGAACTTCCAAAAATCTAGAGTGCCCGAATCTCGTGTTACTCCAATCGATTAGCGCATTTAATCAAACAGCATTATAACTTGCCTGTATTGTTGATGCAACTGCGGACGGCCAAAAAACCGTAATACCGTACAACACAATGGGACGCACAACCGCTGTGTACATCCAGTTCACAATGTGACGCTTCAATCCCCCTTTTCTTCGATCGATATAGACTGCAACATATTAGTTAGGATACTTGCAGTATATTTTCTCACAGTATCTCAGGCGTACATGGCATGTTGTAAATGCAAATCCAACGATACGATACTTTGAATCTGTTCATGACCCTCTTGGTAATATTTAGGGCCACTCATTGGTCTACCGAAGATCTTGCTGATATTATGAATCACTGGGATTACAAAATTTATAATATTTGAAGACTTCCACCAAAAATATCAAGCTGGACCGATTTGAAAATACTTCCAAAAATTGAGTTTTTTATGAATAAAAATATTTCTTAAAGGATTTTTTGGAAAAACCAAATCCCCTCTGATAACAAAACAGTTTAAACTTAAAAAATCTAAAAAAAAATTCAACGGAATCATGATAATGAGAGTTTTGACGCTGTTTCTTAAACTTTTTTCGAGGATTGATTTTGGAAAAACTTGAATAACTTTACCAATTTAGACCTATGAGATATTTTCTTTTACAAAAATCAATACATCTTAATTATCTTTCACCGTAAGTAAAAATGATACCTTTGAAAAAGGTTCAAAAACAGCATGAAAAATCTCATTATTATGATTCGGTTGAAAAATTTGTATGCAAATTTTTTAAGCTTAAACTGTTTTGTCATCTGATGTGATTTGCTTCAAAAAATACTTGAAAAAATAATTTTGATTCATAAAAAACTGAATTTTTGGAGGTCTATTAAAATCGGTCCAACTTGCGTAAATCTTAATATTTTTCCTAAAGATTTTGGTGAAAGTCTTAAAACATAATAGGTTTTATAATTCCAATAGAAAAACAGTACCGATTTTTATTTTTTGGTTGTAAAGGTGAGTGCTGCAGTCTAATGTACATAATTACTAGAAAAGTGTGAAGTGCAATCCCAGCGGATGATTTCTTTTACAACTGCAGCTAGGATTTGAGGCTTTACACGCATTTTTTTTTAATGATTTCAGAGGGAAGGATTCCAACGAAATCTCTAAATAATTTTGCAAAAAATTCAATTGCCGATTTTCGCCTGGATTTGTGAGTTTAACGGATTTTGTTATTTTGTCTTTTTTCAATTTGTTTCGTATAACAGTGATTTTATTTGGTTTTTTTGTTTTTTTTTTTTGGTTTATAAACTTACTGCTATTTTTCACAGAATTTCATTTGCATTCGCTAACTACAATTATGTAATGTATTTGTGTATATGCAGTATTTTTATGTACATATGTATGCATGTATATGGATTTGCATGTATGTAGTCCATGTACGGGCATTAGAAACATCAATGATGCTTAATAATAATTGGCAAGTGAATACAGCTATGCATTTAAATGGGTTTTTTATATACACGTATGTATGGTATGTGCACAAAGTATACGATAAGTGATTTATGCATATAATTTCGTATGTATGTATGTATGTGTGTATATGTACATGAGTAAGTATGTACATCGATGATTTTTTATTTTAATTTTTTGCAATGCATTTAAAGAAGTTTGTGGAGCCTTGCTAATGCTGACGATTTGTATGTATGCATGTATGTATTTACAATGGACTTGATTAACAAAAAAGCACACATTTATGTCAGTATGAGTGCGTTTATGACTTAATTAATTAGCGCCGCCATTTGTGATTTTGCTGTTTATCTAATTTTAAGTGCTTAGACAAAATTACATTATTATTCTAATTGATTTTTTGTTAAGTACTCATTCGTTAAGTTTTTAGGGTAAATTTTGTTTAAATGTCTTTTTACCAATTTCTTGTTTTTGCAAATTTATTTAAATATTAAATAACCTAAAATGCTACTTTGTATAAAATCACATTGCTGGGTTTCGGTCGATATCTCGTTCGCTCGCTCGCGCGTGCACGACCGATTGCTATTCCACTGTTTTTCTATAGTTTTTTTTTTGAATATAGCGTTGCCAACGCGCACTAAACTATATAGTAACTAATTTTCTTTTGCTGCCAATGCCAATGTTACTTTTTTCTTAAACAAATTTGTTGTTTTCCCGGTGTAGCCGCTTTTATTTTATTCTCTTTATTTCGGCATATGTATGCATGAATTTCCATCAGTACAACAACAATTTGTATATGTAAATAATTTTGAATTTTTTCGGGTATTATCTACTGTGCTTTGCTATATACAATTTATTATTGTGTTTGCTGTTGTTGCTTTTGCTATTGTAGCTCTTGCTCGTGTTGTTGTTGTTGTTGCATTTGTTGTTGTTGCTGTTGTTGGCATTGACATTATGATCAGTGTTTATATTCCGGATATCGACCATTCTCCATTATTTGTCCTGATTGACTGTTGTTGCTGCTGCTGGTGGTGTCGCCTTGCTGCTGCTGCAGCTGCATTTGCTGCTGATGCTGCTGCTGTTGATGCTGATGCAGTTGATGCAGTTGCAATTGCGCTTGCTGTTGGCCTGTATCGGCTGGCATAGGCAAACGGCGGCTGAGCGGTTGGATAACACTTCCACTGCTTTCCGTCTCCGTTGAGGGTGGCGAGGGGTAATAGTCCCTCTGACTTACATTTATACCATTTGGTACGACCCCCAAACCCATTATAGAGTTGCTGTTGGCTGCCGCTGCTGCTGCCGCCGCCGCCGCTGCCGCTGAGGCCGCTGCCGAGGATGGATGATCGCCGTGGTGCTGGTGCGGGTGTTGATGATGTATAACGGTACTCGTTGTAGCCGTTGACATTGGTCCGACGCCGCTGGATTGTTGGGAATCCGACATTGTGCCGGATTGCTGTTGATCCAATACCACGACGGATACCACATCCTCACTCGCCCACCGGGCTAACTGTTGTTGAGCTTGAATAAAGTCATCACTAGAAAATAATAATCATAACAGGAACAGCGGTACACGGAATAACAAAAAATAAGAATTGGGTTTCGGGGATGTACAACGAAATTAAATTGAAAACACAATCGAAACCGAAATCAAAACGTAAACGATGCGAAACCGAAAGAAAAGAACAAATTTAAAATGAAAAAAAAGGAAAAAGCGACAAACGAGTGTACATTTTTAAGTTAAAGCACAATGAATTTAACAAAATTTACGCAATGGAACGAAATGGAATGAAACAAAACGAAGCGCAATAAAATGAGACGGAACAGCATAGAACGAATCAAGCCGAAACGAAGGGAAGTGAACCGAAACGCAAGCGAATAGAAAGAAACGGAACGGAATGATATGAGACGGAACAGAAAAAAACGAAACGAACCGAAGTGAATTTAACCGGAAAGAAACGAAAAAAGAAAAAAATTTTAAAATTAAGAACTCACAAGAAATGAAATTAGAGTGAAACGAAACGGTTTAGAAACAAAACAAACAATTTGCAATGATGTGATAAAAATAAATAGAGTTTGCGTTAGAAAGGCAGGCAAGGAACGCAATGCAAAAAATCAAACGGAACGCATGATAAAAAGAAATTCGAACACAAATGGTCAGACAGAATGCAGAAAATCCAAATGAAAATGAGACAAAAGAAAACAACAACAAAACCAATTAATGAATATCACAATCCACATACAGACAAACGTGAATGTTTAGCATTCAAATACATACATATTTATGTAGGTATGTATACATAGTATTTATGTACAAAGGTATATTGTTACGTGTAGGTATGTATGTGTGTATATACATATGTACATACTTATGTATGTAGATAAATGTGCGCTTGCTTGTGTGTTGCAATTATTACATTTGCATGTATGTATTTACAGCAGTGAAGGGTATATAATATTTATATGTACATATGTAGGTATGTGCATTAGGGCGGGCACATATTTTTACTACGCACATAGGAGGATTTTAAATGTAATTCTAAGCAAATTTGCGGAAGAAACCATGGGTCTAAAATCAATGTGGAATATGCTAAAATGCGAAAATAAGTTTCAAAGAAAATATGAAAATTTTCACTTTTGCGACCCCTGTTTGTGTTAATAAAAAGGTATGTAAATGCAGAAATGGATCCCCCATATCAAAAAAACTACTTATAGGTATATGTGTTAATACAAAATTTAAACACCTTTTTACGACACTACAGAAAAATGCCAAGAAACCTATTTTAATATGTAAATTTAGCAAACTCCAAATTTTTTTAAACCCATGGTTTCTTCGGAAAATTTCGTTAGGATTACACGAAGAATCATGCAGTGCTATACGCACAGGTATAGTCGAAAAAATCACCCATACAAATTGAACCGTCCTAATGTACATATGTATATAATTGAATGAATATTGATAAGCTGAGGGGCAAATATATATTGTATACATATATGTATGTATATACATATTATGTATTCGTATGTAAATATGAATGTATACACACAAGCTTTAGGGCATACATAGGCAATGCAAGTGAAATGAAATGAAGTTAATGACAATGGCAATGGCGATGGCGGAGGCGAGTATATAGGTGAATTTGTAAACTGAATTATAATGGAATGTGCCAGGAGTTAATTAAAGAAAATGTACAAATATGCATACATATGTATATATATATATTTACAATGGCATTTATGTAGCCGAGTGCGATGAGTGATACTACTTATGAATATTTATGTGCATGAATATGTACTGATAAATATATATGTATTTAGTTAGTTGAGATCATGCTGAATGAATGATTGGCGTGTTTTGCGATGAAAATGTATTCAAGAATGGATGTGGGTATGTTTTTGTTTCACGTGAAAACAACATTGCCTCATATGGGAGTAATCTAAAATGCGATACTAAATTAATATGGTAGTTTGATTGAACGCCCCTACTACTTAGCATCTCCACTTAAATATATCCATGTAGACTGGACAGTATTTGATTAAATTAGAGTACTCAGTAAAAAAAAACAAACAGTTCGATTGCAATTCGCAAGCTCGCCTTTTTTAGTTTTTATTTTGTATGGTCATATTAATTTTGCTTTTTTTTTGCCTGAGCATTTTTAGAATAGTAAAATTTCATGAGGAATAATTTTCTAGAACGTTTTAACCCACTAGTTCTACCACGAGTGGGTCGTTTTGACACCATTTTCTTGGAAAGCCTGCATTAAATAGCATTAGGGAGCTTGCTAGAGGGTTAAAACATTCTAGAAAATTATTCACCGGAAAATCTCACTAGTGGTAGTCTCAGAAAAAAATCTTTATACAGGGGACGTGAAAGTACACAGAAAAAAAAAACAAATATGTCTCCTTGAATTATGCAAAAACTTTTTTATGCTTTCTTTCATTGTTTTCATAAATATGATTCTAGCTTGGCGAAACATCGTTCTAGCAACTACGATGTTTTTGTTTCAAAAATGCTAAAATCATTTTCAAAAATTGTGTTCAAAGTTCGTGAGCATGCAGAATTTGACATAGAAGCATTAGGGCCTGCAGTGGTGTCTCATATGGACATCATGTGTAACTCAGATTCAGATGATAACGATAATTGCTATACTGATGACCCAAGCCCCGAACCGTCCCAGTTGAAAAGAGCTAGAGTCATAGTTAGGAACAAGGAGACATATTTGGTTTTTATTTTCGGTGTACTTTTACGTTCCTTGTATAAAGATTTTGTCTGAGAAAAATTTTCCGGCGAATTATTTTCTAGAATATTTTAACCCTTTACCGACTTCTCAAATGCCATTTTACTCAGTTTTTCCAAAAGAGGGATAAAAAGGACCCTTTCGTGGGAGAGCTAATAAGCTAAAAAGCTCTACAAAATTGTTCCACGTGAAATTTTGTAATATCTATGCAAACTACTTACGTATTTCTTATCTAATATGGCAAATAAAAAAAATTGACCTCAGTGTGCTCGGGGAGATAATATGTAGAACGGGATCAATGAATGCCTAAAAACGAAAGCAGATATTGATTCTACTATCGCCTGTTTTAATGACAAAATAGTAAGTTTTGTTTTGTTTTGTAAAACCGTCTTCAAATCCTATTTAGAAATTTTAGGAGTACCGTTAATTTCTTCATGATCCAATGATCGGATCGAAACCAGATTAGTAGGGGATCACCGCTGAAACACTACCTTTCCGGTTGAGGTGCTCCCAAGTTATGCGGTAGGATACATTAAAAAAAAAAATGTTCCGACGAATTGATAACCTCCTCCTTTTTTTGAAGTCGGTTAAAAAGAAAAAAAGTATGCAAACAGATTTGTAGGTTTTACTTATACTATATGTGCCTGGGTCTTTGATCTTGAGTTGGAATCATTCCACTACCACTTGAGTCATTATTAATTTTTTTTCCAGTGTTGAAACTCAAACTAATAGCTTTAAACCCGTTTTTTTTTCAAATTTCTTATATCTTGAGCTATTACGTTCTTCCAGCAAGCGAGCGGTTTACACAGCAGAATGAGTTTTTCGGTAACACTTTCACTGATCGATTCCTTAGCTTAGCACTAAAGTTTGTCGATATGTTTACTTAAGTAGTAGTAGGGGCGTTCTTAATTTAAATGAAAAAGGAATATGGAGCAAACACAACACAGATGTAAATAAGTATGTATGCAACAATTCATTTCAGCTATGGTTAGTCACTAAGTATGTATTTGTTATTCTTTTCATTTCATTAAATCAACGTCGTTTTATGCTTCTATAGGAACAACGATAACTCTAAAACTAATCATATATGTATGTAAGTATTTTCAAGTGTGGAATGCATTCCATTTGTGGGCTCTAAAATTAGTTGGTACACGTCATCATACAAAATATTCACTGTATATATGTATTTAAGTCTGCACGCCAAACATACATACGTAGTATGCATTTAGGTAAGTCGACGTTCAATTCCTTAGGTTACGTGTGTAAAATTACTCATTACATTTAAAGTGTATTGCACAGTTGTTACTTAAAGTAGCTTTGTTAATTAATAATTTTCTAATTTTTACTCTCGTGTTTTTTTTTACAGTTTTGGTTTCAGTTCACAATACTACCACTACAATTACGTACAACGAGTTAATTAAGAAAGGAGAAGTCTCAACTTAAATTGTGGAAAATTCACAAAATAAATCTAATCGAATTTAGTTAAATAATCAAATAATAAAAATTACGTAAATATTTCTCAAACACAAGTGGACATAAAACTAGATTTTAATTCGGATTAAGGAGATTGGGGATTTGCTCGAACTGATTGTGGCAATTGGATTTGGGAATTTAGTGTAGGACATTGGATATCTGGAAGAGGGTGGATAACGTAAGCCAAAGGCTGCACGCAAGGGTTGAAGGATGAAATACAGAAATTAAGTCAAATTGGAATTTGGATAGCGTTTGAGTTTGCAAGCGACAGTGGGAGTAGAACTATTTAAGTGTTGGGTCTACGGTATTGGCTGAGGATGTGGGAGTGCGGATGGGCGGGAATGCTACGCATTGGCATGGGAGGTGTAGGTGGTATTGAAATTTCATAAAATTTTGACAAATTGGATTTGTGTCTTTTCACCTTCTTCGGACGGTATGTAGATATGTACACAAGGTTAACACGAAGTAGAGGGATATGGTGCTCTTAAAATAATCTTGGATAGCGGATACAAGGAATGCAGGATAAAAGGACAGTTATGAATTTATATATATTGTTAGAGAGAGTCAGAGCGGGGTAAAGTGGCAGATAGGCAGACAGAGCGAGATTGAGAGAGAGAGAGCGTGTGTGTGAGCGAAAGTGAATGTAACGAGTACCTACCTCTCACTGTCGGGTGTTTCACGCGGATCGAGTCGTGCCTCAACCACCGAACGTTCATGGTGATCGGCACTCTCGTATATACCCTCGTCGTCCTGGTGCAAGTGTGTATGCGACGAGTGATGTGATGAGTGTGGGCCGTGCGTAGCATGACCGTGGGCGTGCGAATGATGCGTATGGTGGCCGAAAGCATGAGGTGAGTGCGATTGATGCGATGGATGTCTACTTGTTGCTTGAGGAGGATGTCTGTACCTTCCGTAGGCGAAGCGCGACTCCTCGTCGGAGCGCGGGCGCAAACGACTGCTGTAAGACGGATGTATTGTTGCAGTTTTCTGTGATTGTGCTATTTGCTGATTTGAGCTGCGATTCAACAGAGACGAATACAACACAATACATATGTAGGTAGGTAGGTAAACTCTATGCTCTCATACATACATATGTTAATGAAATTACATACATACACACACACACTTAGAAAATTTGGCGAGTAGTTTGTGTATTGTGAAAATTTTGAAAAAACAAAAAGTAAAAGAAAATAAATAAATTCAATGAGAAATTAGGATCTGTAACGAAAATATGCTTGTAACCAGATAACATAAATATTATTTAAGATTGCAATGAAAATCGCTATTTAAGTCGACCAAAAACGATAAGAACCATAAGGTGCAATACTCTTCATCGGAATCATAAAAATTATAATATTTTAAGATTTCTGCCAAAATATTTCGAAAAAATATTTAGACTTAAATGACGTAGAACAATTTGAAAATATGTACCTACAAAAATCGATAAATAAAACTAGTTTTTCAAAATATTCTTCAGAATTTATACCGTAGCTATCTTTTGCATTGAGGTTTTTAATCGCACTTTAGGCATAGCATTGATCTTTAAGATTGCACTGTCGCCTGTTTAATTGACAGCCATTGAAAGAATAATAATTTTTATGAAAGAAGATTAAGAAATGCTGGGCTGAGGTTTCGAGCAAGAAGGAGACAAGCTTCAGAAAAAAAGTAATAAAAATAATACTCTTTTTTCCTCCTCCTTTTTTTGAAGTCCGTAAAAACCTATAATTTTTCCTAAAAAAATTAAAAAAATTACTTTACAATTCAATTTTTTCAAAATTGTAACCAATTAAAACATCTTCAAAAAAAAAACCTGTTTCATGAAAATTCTTTTCGAAAATTACTAAAAAAAACTTTTATAAAGTCGATAAAAATCGTATGATTTTTTTGAAGTCCGTAAAAAACCTATAATTTTTCCTAAAAAAAATAAAAAAACTACTTATTTTACAAATTAAATTTTCTCAAAATTGTTACCAATTCTGATTTTTTCCTGATTTTTCGTTAAAATCCTTTGATTTTTTCTAAAAAAATTACAAAATTACTTATTTTCGAACACTTTTTATAGCTCACCAAACCTTAGGTCGTCCTTAAACCTATCTGGATCATAAACCTTAACTTATCTGTATACACGACGTTTTTGAAGTCCGTAAAAAACCTATAAGTCTTCCTAAAAAACTTGAAAAGTTAGTTATTTTTTAATTCGATATTTTCAGAATGGTTACCAGTTCAAATATTTCCAAAAAATCCTCCTGTTTCGTAAAACTTCTTTTTAAAAAATTATTAAAAAAAATATTTTTACGAAGTCGGTAAAAATCCTATAATTTTTGCTAAAAAAAAAATTAATAAATTACTTATTTTACAACATAAATTTCTCAAAATTGTTACCAATTCAAATGCCATCCAAAAAAAAGCCTTATGTTTTCTAAAAATTCTTTAAAGAAAAAATTATAAAATTTTTTTATGAAAAATTGCTTTCCTTAAAAATTTTTTTCAATTAATACATAACGTTTTCTAAAAAATTTTTTTCGTGAAGTATTTTTTTGTCGAAAAAAATTCCTACCAAATTACTAATTTTTTCTAAAAAGTCTTTTTTCAAAAAATTATTTGTTTTAAGGATTTTTTCACGTAAGTATTTTTTCTAAAACTTTACTTTTCTTTATATGTTCATTTATACCTACATATATTTTATATATATATTTGAAATTTTGTCTAGCTTTGTTGAAAATATCTTTTCCTAAGAAATACAATTTTTTTTAAAGTACTGTTTCTATAAGATAAATCTCTTTGTTTAGGCGCGTCTGCTAACACCAGGCGCCTAAATACATGCTATGTACTGCTGCATGTGCAAAAATTTCCTTTATGCAATTTAGGAAATTTTTGCACATGCACTTCTCAACTGCCATGTAATTGAACTTTCTTAAGTTCTAATTAGATGGCACTTCAAAGTATGCTCGGCCTAGTCTGATGCATCCTCCGGACACTGCTTCCGGAGCATTTTGCGGACTCTGCATGACTTAAAACCATGCAGAGGTGGCAAACGAACTTTGCCATTGGCCACAGTGCCTACCCACCATTTTTGAACCAATAAATATATTTTTTTATTATAAATACATACATGCAAATACTGGTCTCCCCTCTCACTGAGTTATTCACTCTTCCCAAAAATATTTTTTTCCTAAAAATCACCTCTTTTCCGAAAAATTTCTTTTTCAGTATACATACCCACATATCACTTTTTTTAATGTTCTTTTTTCTAAACATTTTGTATCTTTCTTAACTTTTCGGGTAAAAACGGCCTTTATGTCGTTCAATGCGAGGCACATAAAAAAAAAATTAGAAAATTTTGCAACGCTTCGAACAATCGCCTGTTGAGTACAAAATATCTGTGGGAAACTTGTTTCCCTTGCTCCTGAAACAATTATATGATATGTTTGGAATGGCCAAGTGTCGTAGATGACCAAATATTATGTCAGGAACGATCAGTGACAACTTCCACCAAATGGGAAAATTTTACTGACTTTTATGAAAAATTAAACAAGCGACTTTTGGGAGTTAGTTCAAATGAAAAAAATTAAGGTGTAAACAAAAAAAAAAAATAAACAACAATTAATGCATCGAAAGATTCCGATGCGCACCACTCTTTAGAAACTGAGTTTTAAATGAAAATTATATTTAAAGCGATTCTTATTGCAACCATTTGTTTACATAATATTCTGAGGGTGAATATAGGTGCCTATTTTTTAACATAGAAAAAAACTCTACTTTAAACTAAATAATTATTGGCTGCAACTACAAGTTTGTATATGTATGTATATGTATTATTTATTATCGCTCAACGATCACATTTGATTTTTTTTTGGTGCCATTGTGTGTGTAAGAGTACCAACCAAACAGTAACCAACCTTTATCACACCAGATATTCCAGTCTAAATCCTGAAAGAATATTAAGAGTTCCAAATAGTTTAAGTGCAATGTGTTTTATCATAGTGATTGTTGTAGTTGTTGTATTATTTTCTTATGTTAAATTAGTTTTTGATTTTTCTGTTTTTTTTTTTTGTTTTGTTTTTATTCTACTGGAAGTCACGTTTATGTTGTTGTCACTATTGGATGTATGTAGTTGTTGTAAGTGGTATAGGAATACGATTTGATTTATGTATTTAGCATCAGTTAAAGCGGGTTGCAGCATCTCACTTACGTACATTCATACATACACACATACATATATGCAGGTAATTGTATATAGTATGCACGAGTAACTATTGATCGCCTAGGATCGAATATATGTAAATACGAATATGTACTAAGTACTTAAATAATTTGTTAATGAAGCTTTCTTTTCTATCCAAAAATAGGCACCTACAGCCCCAACATACAAAAAATTCACAGTAAATTAAATACGAAATAAATACGTACATAAGTATGAATGTGGGTGGCATGGAACATGTATGTATTCGTATATGTATGTATTGTATGTATGTATTACTAAAAACCCATATTAATCGAAAATCAAATTAATATAGTTGTTATGTAATAAAAACATTATTCATAAAACGCTCATTACGAATCGGCAAAAATCAGCAAAAAACATAAACAAAATCGAAATTGAAATCGAAATTGTTAAATGCAATGTGTGTATTTGCAAAACGTTACTAACCCTTGCGAGGATTCACTACAAGCGGCGGAACTATCTAATCTATAATGGCGATCGGCTTCCGTCTCGGACATTCGAATGTCCTCGGAGCCGCTAGGACTCATATGGCGCGACGAATGATGCTCCAGCTGTCGTATCAGATCCTCCAAATTGCGTATACGCAGCGGTCCAGTCGATGGAGCATCATCGTCGTCCAGCGGCGGTTGTTGCTGTTGCAGTGTTGGTGGCGGCTGATGCAGCTGATGCTGTGATCGATGATGATGCAACACGGCACCGGCATGCCCGCCAATGCCCGCACTTTCGATGAGCAAATGCGCTTGCGCCGGATCGCAGATATTTTCACGTGAACTAGACTTGGAACCGCTTGAGCGTTTATACGGTTCCACGCTGTAGCCAAGTTGTGCACTTTGGCAGTCTTGCAGCGTTTTGCGTAGCATCTCTTCGCTTAGGCTGCCGCTACCGACTGGCGTATTGCCGGTGGCGGTGCCACGATGTGAGGCCGCATTACGCAATGCCTCGAGGATGTCTTCGTGATAGCCGTTGAGGGATTTTAGGGTGCGCTCTACTTCGGAGACCGCCGCACCACCGCTAGTGGAGGCGCCGAGTGCACCGTCCTGTTGTGTAATAAGCTCGAGATTGTCGGACTGTACATCGTCGCCCCATTTGTCCTTCAACTGTTCGGTGTGCACAAGGCCGTAGCTGTGCTTCTTTAGTATGCCCTTTTCTGCTGGCGTTGTTATTGCAGTTGTTGTTGTTGTTGCGTCATGCGTTGACGTAGCGCAGTAGCGGGGGAAGAGAAAATCAGGTATAATATAGTATTTCAAAAATTCTGGCTTTTTCATTTTAAATTTCATTTCTGGTGCAACTGTGTGCAGGTGGGTGCGAGAGTGCGTGCAGCTGAAAGTGCTAAAAGAGTGCAGAGAGTAATTGTGCTGACGTTCGTTAAAGTGCGCGTAGCAAGCGAAAAGTGCACAACCTTTTGGGGAATCAGGTGTTGTAAGCGTTTTCAAAATAATTGCGCAATTATTTTCCAACTTGCGTCGAGCTCATTCCAGGGAAAATAGAAAGGAAGTTGTGAAGCATTTTGAAACATTCCACTATTATTCAATGCCCTTATTTCAACATTTTCATATTTCAAAATTATAAAATAACAAATCTTTCTTTATTAAAGCGGATTAAGAAAATTGAATTCTTGTAAAAGTAGTACCACCTTTTGATTGCTCTTTTAATGGGAGCTTGTGAATGCAAGCATATTTTAAATTGAGTTGTTTTACCTACAGAAAATGACCTTGGAGTGATTGCTTCCAGATTATAAGGATGATTAGGATTATAGAGCCGATAAATCGATTCTAAACAGAGCCTTATTATTTGTATTTATTAGGTTATTACTTATATAGCCTAATGATATCTTTTCTATCTAAGAGAATCATGCGTTGACTAGTAGAGTTCTTGCGTTTGATACTAAATACCTTGGAATAGCCATATAAAGTCATTCGCCATCAAAAGATATCTGCAACACGTATGCAGATGCAGGGCTAAGTATAAAGCATAGAGGAACATATTAGAGGTCAACAAACAGTCAATGGCCTTATAGCAATGAAAGTTTTATAAAAAATGGGCTTTCTTCAAGTGGAATTCGAACCTGAAAATTATAAAGTTCTATACCTTTTGAAATGAAATCTTCTTTTGCATATTTTCACTAAGGGCTTTTTAAAACTTAAGCTGTAAGCCAACTTAGGTTAATAGAAACTTACCATTGTGGTTATAAAGATAGGAGACAAGTTCAAGTTCGTTAGTTACAGTGCATCCTAGAAGCTGCGATTTTAGCGGGAATTATTTTGCTTATGTATATAAATTATGGCGGTAAAAATTTTAATTTTCTGCCGCCCTCGGATTGTACTCTACAGAAAAAGCATACCCCTGTTTTTTATTATGGATTTAGAAAATATTTAGAGGTCGCTCATGGTGCTCAAAGTTTTCCATCTATTTTAAATGGGGAAAAAAACAATTTTTCGCGGAAATGGTGTAGAATTCCTTAAAATCAATATTTTTCGATCAGAAAACCCTGTTTCGCTTTAGGAAACTTCCAGTAATAATACTTAATTCTTTATTTAAGCATTTATTAATATTAACTATTTTTATAGGTCCCCCAAAAGCCGCTAAAAATGCAATGGGAGAAAAATAAATAATAATAAATAATAAAAAATCGTTAGTATTAAAATATGGTAAAATAAGCAATTGGGTACTATTCCCAGAAGTTTTCTGGAGATAAACAGAGTTTTCCTATCGATAAATATTGATTTTAAAGAATTCTATACCATTTCCGCAAAAACTTATTTTTCCCATATAAAATACATAGAAAACTTGAGCGCTTTGCGCGACCTCTAAATATTTTGTGATTTCGAACTAAAAATCAGGGGTATGATTTTTTCTATATAAAACAATACTAAGGCGTGAGGACATTAAAATTCCGAATTTACTTTTTCACGTGCATTTTTGGATCACCCTAATATATGTACATCCTATGTTGTTTGGTCAAACCATTTGGATTCTTTGATGAATTTGCTCATTTCGCTTATGGCAGCACCGGATAGGCATGGGAGTTGTGTTACTAGGTGCCTCTCTAGTGTTGTATTTATGTCTACATAGTATTCGAGAGGCTTTCTTCGTTATAATAAAGTTGACAGCTCTGTTAATTTACATTATAGAAGGGCAAGTACTCAGAAATAGTTTGTCCATTGTGCCAACGGTCAGACCCCTGCGTTAATTTATTAAAATCGCTCCTACTTTTTGAGAAGTGAAGGATTCTGGAAATGTAGGATAAAGCAGTATCTTCCCCCACGAGATAAGAAGATAAGGCGAGGAGTTGGACTGATGCGAGCTATTTTTTGATCAAAAAATGACATCGACGTCGACGTTTACAACCAGAATTTGAATATCAACTGAAAATCTGCAAGATTTTAATAGAGGAATTCGCTCTTCCATGTATTCATTGTATCTTGTGTATTTTGAGGCAGTTTTTCTTTGCTCTCATCCGTGGGAGCCCAAAATGCCTCATTTGAGTGCTGCAAACTCTATGTACACAAAATGTGTTCGACTTGCCAAATGACGGCAATAATTCGCAATAAAGGGGATTTTCAAATATTCTCCCATATCCTTGAATGAGTCCCAAAAATTATTTAAGGAAGTTCCAGATACAATTTCGAGCAATACCGGTGCAACGCTAAATAATCGCAGTCAAATTCAAGGCCTCTAAAATGGGCGGCTGAACATGTAGATGATAATTAGAGCAGTCGCTTCAAAGACAAGTCCTACCTTTGAATGATCAAAACTATAAAGCTTGATTGGTTGAGTAAAGGTGGGAAAGGTTCATGTTTGAGGATGCTACAAAAAACAAATATTTGGCTAACTAATGATGTTTATGACTAATTTAGGCTCCACTTTGATGAACATCAACGAATAGTGGTTTGGGCCAGCAAGCCCTTGAAATTGTTTTCTCAAAGTTCAAAAATTTTTATCCATAAAAATACACAACTTAAAAATTTCAGGTTCTTTTAAGATCAGTTAGAGTTTGTAGAAAAAAATTTAGTTAAAAATTGATATAAGCTTTCAGTTTTAAAATATTTCATTTTTCGAAGTTTTATAATTTTTTTATTATTTCACTTTTTCAAAAAATAAACTTTCAAAATCCCGGAAAATTCGACAAATTGTGAAATTTTAAACTATTGGAAAAACTTTGCTATATTTAAAATAGAAGTTCTGTTAAAAATTCATCCAAATCAAAAATGGTGGATTCCAGCCATTGGTCGACTTGACGTATTTGGGTACTCATTTTCGTTTGGAATGTTCGCAATACACTTCACATGCTCCCTTTTCCCAGAGCTTACTTATGTAGTTGGGTTACCTTCTCTTTCGCCCAAATTTGTTATTTGAAGATAAAATCAATTGTGTTGCATTAAAAAAAACTGTAAGCAGAAATTTGAAGCGCATTTAATGACAATAAACAGACTAGACTAGACTAAAGTTTAGTAAGTAAGTATGTAAATTGAAACTGGCAAAACATTGAATGCGACGAAATTTATGTAGTTTTTTTTTTTTTTATTAAACGACAGCACGACAAGCACTAACTAACTGTCAGTTATGTAAGTATTTATTTTATTTATTAGATAAGTATGTATGCAAGTACGAGTACAAGTAGTTATTAGTAGTTACAACATATGGATGTATGTACATACTATGTTTGTATTTTGGTATTTGTAGTAGTAGTTAGTAGATGAGACTCATTTCATTAATTAGAGTACGTATTATTGCAACTAACAACACTAATCAGGGCTGAGCACAATTAGGTGGAACGTCAACAAGTATGCATGTGTTGGTGTATATATGTGGTGCTTATATGTATTAATATGTAATAGAATGAGTATGTGAAGGTACATAAGTGGGCAAATGTTAGTAAATATATATATATTTTTTTTAGTTATGCAATAAATGCATTTTGTTCAAGTGTACTTTTAGTTTAACCATAAATATTTGGGTACCTACCAGAATGGGCCTGATCATCTTCGCCGCCGCCAGTATAACGGCGGCCATGTATGCTTTTATCCCTACAATTGCAAGAAGGGGGGAAAAAAGAAAGCGAAAAACAAAGGTTACATAAATACATTTGAAATAAATATTGGAGGTATGGTTTTTTGACTGAAGTGCACTGTGAGCATATACATATATGACGCTTGCCTACCTGAAGCCTGCCTGATTGGCGTACACCAATTTGCTGGAACCATCCAGTGAAACCTCCTCAACCGAGTGATGATTGGCGGCAGTGGCTGCGGCGCTGGCATAGCCCTTGGCGATGGGCTTTTTCGAGTATGGCGGATCATACTTGAGGGTAGTGGTTTTGCGTCTACTCCCAGACGTTCAACGTCATCATAATCATAGTCATCATCATCATCATCATCATCGCCATCATTATCGTTGTCGTCGCGTGTGTTGTTGACGTCATCATTCCATCGCAAGCAGCCACATATTCACATCCATTGAATCATTTATTTCATTTTATTATATATGCATATATATATTTTTTGTTTAAATTATGCATTAGCATTCATTTGAAATTTTAAATAATTTGGTTTTATTTAGATTTAGAAATGGCATTAAAGGTTTTTCATTTCATATTTGCGTAATTTTTATATTGATTTTTTATTTCATGGTTTTGGTTTTATGTGTTTTTTTTGGTTCAAATTTTATCATGTTTTTTTTTTTTTGGTTGATTGATTGATTGTTTGATTGATTGATTGGTTTGTTGGTGATGCGATGATGTTGATTTAATTTGCAAAATTAACAGTTTATTTTTTTTGGATTTGTCGAGTGGTAACGTATGTACGTAGGTAGATATGTACGTTTTATTTTTGGTTTGTGGTTGTATGAAAAATTTGAACAATAATAAAAAGTGATCTTCATTAAAATCAATTATTCATATTGATATTTGGATTTAGCCCAGTCAATTGTATGTAAGTACGTATGTAAGTAAGTATGCAGGTAGATACGTGTGTAAATACGAGTAAATACGTGTGGATTCTATGTAATAAATTGCATATATATAAGAAATGGTGTAGTAAAATAAGGAAATAATAATAATAATAATAATAATAAACAATAAGGGTGCATTTGTTAGTAAGTTTAATAATTGCAAAGGATGCCGAAAATTAAAATAAGAAATTGGCGTATTCATAATGGTGGTACTACATAAAAGCGAAAGCGAATAAAATGTTTAATGAAATTTTGAAATTACTAAAAATTAAAAAAAAAAATATTTATATTTTACTTGATTGTGAATGAGAAGGTGTTGCCTATCATTCATGGCCAATTTACAATTTGTTTTGCTACACACATGTGCGGGGATATAAATATGTACATATAAGTATTTGAAAATTTCTATATGGAAGAAACTGAGCATTTAAAAACATTTCGTATTTAGCTTTCTAAAATCAAAAAATATTTGAAAAATTTATATTTTTGAACACTCTCACATTTTTAAAACTCCATATCAGTAATTAGTTAGTTCTTGCTTTGCCGATTTGAAATTGTATCCCTTACTAACTATTTTTTATAAATTACTTAGTGTAGTGTAAGAGATTTTTATTTGTGCGTTCTTTTTTAAAAGCTGTACATGTCGTGTAAACGCAAGTGTAACGAAATTTATTTTTAATAGGACGATATTTAGCCCACGGATAAGTCTTATTTCAGAAAGACCCTTTTGATACTTCTGTAGAATGGCTCTCGATCATCAGTTGACCACTTTCTGTATAGCTGTCCGCCCCTACATTTAGTCGAAGCATCTCAAGGACTTGGGATCATGCTTGCTCAATAGTCTGGCAGAGAGGTGATACCCTTTGATCTTCTAAACTTTCTTTCCGACTATTAGGGTATTCCCAAATATTGAACTAGCTTTCAGTTATTTAATACCTGCGATCTTAAATGGATTTGAAGTGGAAAATTGCCTGGTGGAGTTTAGAAGGCGAATGCCTATAGGCTGGGCTGTGACAGCGAGTTCGGGGAGAGAAAAGTTTGGAGCAATGGGACAAGAGGCACTTTCCAAGTTTGCGTGTTCTCACCACTTCAGCGGTACTTGTCGGCGTACTCTGCCTTCCGGGAGATGGAATAGGAAAAAGTGTAACTTATGCTTTTGTACAAAACCACAAAAAACGCCAGTAGCCGGTGTCGAATTCTTGAAATGAAGATCAGCTTGAAGAAGAATACAGTTTAGCGTCACTGGAGGTCTTCTATGTCTCTGCGTTCGTTAATAGATCCATCGGCAAAAAACAGTGCTTGAACTCAGGCATCTGCTTCTGGATTTATGGCTAGATATAATCTCTTCCAGACGTGTTTTTAGATTTCCTCCCACGACGACAGGAGGCGCAGCCATGAGAAAATCCAGATTATTTTCGATTAGGAAAGACATCTAAGAGGAAACCGAGGCCCGAAATGGACAAACCGGTGTATTCAAAATATGGTACTCGATGGAAATTTCAATATGGATGATGTTGTGCGTCAGAGACTCTGAATGGTCCAGCAAGAGAGTGTGAAACTTCAAGACGTGATGTGACAACTGGTCTTATATTTCAGGTCTAAGTGTGCAGTTGCAATATCAGTCGATCATGTTGCCGCTGCAATCGAAATAGATGGCATTAAGGCTCTTTCATCATTCGAGATCAAGCCCTCCTTGGCTTTGGATTGTGTAGAGAGGCTCAGTGCTCTGGCGGAGGTTAATGATATTCAACTGATGCGGCTACCAGGGCACATGGGGGTCGTAGGAAATGAGGAAGCTGACAATTTGGCCAGAACGGCAGCTGCGTCGACCCCGATAGGACTTGGGTGTTGTGGGAAAATACAAAACTGAGGGAACTGCACCGGCGTAACACCATGGGTCAACGTCAGGCAAAAAGCATATTAGGAGGGTACGATCTGAATCTGGAGCTGACGGCCTGCCAGCCGAGCTATTCAAGTACGGCGGCGAGG